GAAGGAAAATCACGGGACGAGCAGTCCTAGCCGGTCCGCGTAATCCGCTTCGACGGATAGACGGGCTGTGTATGTCGTTTCCCGCTTCGACGGCGCAATTTTTTTCACGAACGATATTCGACTTTTCTCGATAAACGAAATCGGATTAAAAAACGGACGGCATGGATTTCCCCATCGAGCCACGAAAACAATTACCGGCTTTCTCTGTGCATTTCATCAGTGTTCGAACATCCGTCGCTCACGACGCTGTCTTATTAAGCAGAATTTCATAGAAATTTGTAGATGTACACGCACAAAGGTATGTACCTTATAATATTTGTAAATTTGAATAGGAAGAAAAATGTGGAGAATGTATGCTTCAAAATTTTGCAGAATCCAACCCTATTTGCGAAAGTAACTTTTTCATATTTTTGCAAAATTCGGCCAGAAAGCTTGTAATTTTCACACGACACGAAATATGTTAATTCCGAACTTGAGATGTAGATAAATGAAAGTGCGACGAAAATGGGGAATAATTCAGACGGAATTACCCGGGTGGTCGTGAACAATTAACGAATGAAAAATCGCAGTTCAATAACTATTTCCAAGCGGGGAGTACGCGTTTCGCGAAGTTATCTCAGCAGAGTTTCATTCATCGGAAAGTTCCGCGAAGACGTAAATCCGTGCCGGGATCGGGGTCCATTCGATTCAAGAGCGAGGATAATGGTAGCCGGTGGCCTAAAGAGAAGTCTCCGCGAGAGCAATTCTTATCGGTAGCTACGGACGGAGAGCTCGGTAGAAGGAGAGTAAATAATTTAACCGTGGAACAGTGATTCGATTGTACGACTGGATGGTTCATCGTGAAGCGCTAAAACCCCCGTTCGACTTTTTCTATCTCCTCGTTCAACTTTCTTTCCGTTTTTTTTTTTCCTCGCAGTTTCGACTTGTGCAATTGAACCCGGGAAGGAAGTTCACTTTATTCATCGAGTAACTTCCTTGTCTGTTTCTAACAGGAAGATCGAGCAGTTCCGGTGTTTGTAGCCCCGTGTGAAAGCGCGAACAAACGCGCGTCGACGAATTGTATTTAACGACACCTTATCGCACTTTCAATTTCCTTTGCGGAGAAAAAGTGAATTAAAATCCGTCGGTGTAACACGGTTTTTCGCAATTTTCAACCTTATCCCCCGGTTAGATTAAACCTAATCCTATTTACTCTAAAGTATCACCTTTGAAGTCAAAGAACTTGGTTAATAGCATTCACGCTCTACCGAACTAAACTCGAGCTCCTCGAAAATGGTGTCTTCCAGCACACCTTCTTCGTCTTTCTACCACCTGTTATAACACGACACCCCATACAAGTGAAATCTATCGTGCTTTCCGGTTCCCTGCTCGCATTCATCCTCGACGAACCTCTTCTTCGGTGCATCTGTGTCAAATACTCCGTATAAAGCGTGCGAATAAAACGTCTCTAAAGTGAAGCTTTGAAAATAAATGCGAAAAAATTCCTTTGGAATATTAAAAATATTTTCCAAACATCCCGATCACTCTCGTACAAGCGAGAAAATTCATTTCACCGTTGCAAGATGCTGAAAATTTGGAAGGAAGACGCGGAAGAATCTGCAAGGTTGGTATCGCGACGACACGGAAGCAACGGGGCTAATTTAAGAAATACATGATCGATCTGGAGGGAAACAAGGGGTTGCCCGGCGCGAGTTGAATGCCAGCCGTAAGGTAGCTTCCTCGAGGAGGAGAGAGCGCATAGAACGAGCAGCGAGGCTCGTAAGGTTGCGGGGAAACGACTTTGGTAGGAGTTGCATTTTTATCCGGCCGCGTTCTCTCTGTCGACGTAGCAGATGAAAGCGGTTATGCCGGCTTCTTCGTATATTGCCCCGTTCTTTTGTCTCCCCGCCAGGCGTGAGCTAACCATCCCCTATCCCTCTCTCTCCCTCTTTCTCCAGGTTTTTCCATCTTTTGCTCTCTTCTTCGCGCCGACCTCAAAGCCAGTTCTATTTCGGTGCCATCCGACTCTGGTGTACCCAAGTAAACTGGCATACGACCAAATGCCGTGATACACCGCGCCGTACATTCTTCTCACCCCTAACGTTATGACCTGAGCCATCCTCCCCTCCACCTCCGACCATGGACCACGCCGTGGACCATTACGCTCCACCGTGTGCCGCTTACGTTATTATTGTATAAATCAGCCGCACGCGGCGCTGAATTTTCTTCTCGTTATGCCCCGACGCCGATTCCCTGCAGATCTAGCGAACGCCGACGCCGACGCCGCCTGCATCGATTTACTCTTTCTGATCTACGCGGAATGGGATTTTTCAGCAGGCTTGTTTGAGGAGAAATTTCTTCCTCGGTTTTGCCAGAGGATTGAGAAGAGTAAAGGAAATCTGAGGAATATTCCGAGACGCAGCAGTGGTCCCTTGGTTCGTTGCAAGGATGATGGAGGGATTTTTAAAAGTTTGTGCTGCGCAGAAAAATTTAGGACGTCTACTGCTGTTTTTTTGTAGGTTTAGATGATTCATGATGTACATGTTACTATTTTTAAAGTAAAGCTTCAAGACAATAGCAGCTTCCGTTCTTCGAAGAACGATTGTGTAAAAATGTCCACCGTGAATCTAGAGAAGCATCGGAGTGAGTATCGGGACGAGCGTCGATTTAATTACCGATTAATCCCCGTTCCTTTTGTTTCACATCGTGAATAACGTCTCGTCCACGATGCTTGCCTAGTACCGCCACGGTTGTTTTAATAACGACGATAAATCTACAGTCGGCTGAATGTATCCGAGAGCACAGGACCAGTATCTCTTTTTGTCACCGCCGGATTATTGCGTCCTGATCGTGCGACGAAACGTCGCGACGCTGCTTCGATTCCACCGGTTGGATATTACGGCATTATTAAAAATCGCCGGGCCGGCCCGCGTGCAGAACGATCGCAATTTAGATTCTCCGTCTACTCTGCCATTTCCACGCTTCTCTCTTTCTCCCTCCTTCGACCGTTTATTCTCTCTCTTCTTCCTCTCACGCTATTTTCTCTCTCTCTCTCTCTCTACCTTTCTATTTCTATCGCGAAACGACCAACGAGCAAATAGTAACTGAATGCAGATCAGAAACGACTGCAGCCCGATAACCGGATATCTAATATCTCACCGTTTGGCCTGTCGAACGCTGAAAAATACGCGAATCGGATAAACCAATGTCCCCTGACCATATTCGAATTCCACGCGGTGCGTCTCTCTCTGTAGCCTCCTCGTTGATCCCCACTTTTTCATCCATCTTGGTCTTCAAGATTTACCGGGAAATATTAATCGCAAGAAGGAAAGGCGGAAAGGCTACTTGCACCTTTCTCGAGCATCCTCGGTGTTAGTCGCAGCACTCCACGTCTACTGGAGGGTCGCGCAAACTTTTGCTCATAACAAGACCGAGAGAATGCCGCGTCGGTCGAAAAGAGAATGGACAATCATAGGGAATTACATAGCGAGTCGTGCAGCTTTTCTACATACTTCTTCTCCTTTTTTCTTAAGCCTATCCATCCGTAACGTCTGAGCATCGTGCATCATTCACGCGTTGTTCTCCCGTCGCGTCGGTCAAGTACAATCTTTAAATCAGAACTACCTACCGAGGTTCTCCTGTAAAAACTAGACAATTCAATCTCGCTTCGTACCGTCGGGGAGGTGAGAAGATATATTTGCCAAGCAGGAAACGAAGCGTGTCCTGAGAGCAGTTGCACGAGGAGAAATTAACGATTGAATTCTTCAGAGTACAAGAGTAGGAGGAGGGGCGGCGGAATAAAACTCATAAGAATTGATGAACCGAGCTACGGGAACCGGGGAATAGTTGGCGAGTTGAGAAACTCGTGAATTTAACTGAGTAATCAGTAAACTCCCATTACCCGCCCCCTTTTCTCGCCCCTCTCGGCACAACTGTAGTGGGCGGCTCTGGCGGGGGTAAACGGGGGTAAACGGGGGTAAACGGGGGATGGGGATTAATTATTTAGCCTGGAGCAATAAGACATGTCAAAGGTGGCTCTAACTATGGAACACGAAGCTGCCTCGGCCATTTCATTGCCGCGTTTTATTAATGGGGCTTGCCAGTGACATAAGAAAATCGCGATTTTATTTCCCGCGGCAAGAAAGAATAATTGCACCGTATATTAAGTTGGACTGGCGTTTAAATTACTCCGCGGTGTGTGTTGGCTAATAAAATTACACCACGTTTACGAAATAAAATTCGCAATAAGATTTTTTCTATCTTTTTCCTCCGTTTCCTTTCTTTCTCATAGTTTCGTAACAACCATAGTGATTTTCGCTCTTTGCTCCACTAAATTTCACCTTTATCTCTACCCTCCGCTTCTTCCCCGTGGGCGAACTTTCTTCCAACACCGGTCTATCCTTTATCCTCGGCCATAGGATAACGACGTCGTAACGTGTTACTATGTTACGTATTACGTCGCTCGTAACACGGGTGTAAAGTACCGAAGCGGGAATGAAATAAGTCGTAACGGAGAGCTGATTTACGGGTCGCGAGTGTGCATCCCTGAAAGAGGGTTACCGGAGTCTCTACTCGTACGCATCGCGAGTTCCCTAAGTGATGCTGCACCCACGAATACTCGTCATTAGCGGGTAATTTTGGCGGGCACGCCTATTCAGCTCGGACTTTTCTGAAAATCCTGCCAATTACCTCTAGAAAGAGCAAGCTCTCGCGAGCTTCAATTCAATTCAATTTACACGAAAATAGATTCACAGCCTACACGTGTTATTCTATGCAAAAAACTGAAGCTTCAAACTTCGTGGACACTTTTAAACACACATTTCACCCTCGCGAGGAAGAAATGTCACTAAACGTTTCATAACTGCGTAATTAAACAATTTTCCAAATAGAATTCTGTTTCTCCCTCTCCTAAAAAATTTCAGTGCTGTAAAAAATAATCAGGGAGCAGTTGCTATATAGAATACTAAGATGGTAATTTCATTTACTGTGTATTTTAAACGCGTTCCACGGCCCGTTTCCAGGTGTCCTGGATGAGAAGCAAGGACCTCCACATTCTCACGTCAGGAAACGCCCTGTTCAGCTCGGACACTAGGTTCGGCCCTCAGCACACACCGGGTAGCGACGCGTGGACACTACGACTGGACAACGCGAGGAAGACGGACTCTGGCAAGTACGAATGCCAGGTGAACACCGAGCCCAAAATGATGTATGCTGTTCAGCTGTCCGTGCGAGGTAATTGCAGTTTCTCCTGTCTCCCTTTATTTAAATCCGCCCACTAAATTGAATTGTCCTTAAGCTGCACCTCCCCTCCACCCACGTTTAATAACTTTGCCGAGTGCCACTCGTGTTGAATATTTTCCCGTTGGTCGCCAGACGATTCTTAATTATATGCTAATACCGCAGAAAGACGAATTTGACGAACGAAATGTGCGGAAGGAGAACAAAGTGCGACTTCATTATTCGTACTATCGGTAGAAAAAAGTTTAGAAGGAAAAGGTAGAAGGATCGTAGCGAGAATGAAACGAGCAAAGTAGTCGTTGGTGTTTATTACGCTTCCACCGATTAAAATGTAATTTTCATGCGATCTGTTTTGTGCGCGTGTTTGTCATAAAGTAGGGGGAAGACTGGCGGTGTGCTTTTCTCCTTTAATGCTTCAGTACATGCTTCTTCAACGTGTATGAGAAACAGTAGTTTCACGACAATTTCCATCGTTGCTTTTTGCAGATCCTGACAAACCGGAGGGATACGACGAGCCGCATTCTCAGCAGACGCGAATAAGTAAGTGAGCATCGTGAAAACGAGGGTTTATTTCTGTCTAGTGGTACATACACTTTGCCACCGGCGTGCCTCTAGTTCCCGTTTCCATCGAGTCCCTCTCACCATTGTAGTCGCTAGATAAATTTCAAGGCACACTTCAGCCTGCCTAATTTCACGCGCTAGTTTTGTCGAATTAAATTTAAATCTAGTCTATTCTCACTCTGCTACTCTCTTCCGAGGAAAGATAACGCGGCGGGTAAATATTTTTGCACCAGTCAGGGATGATTAAAAAATGTTTCCGATCAGAGAAGAAAAGGAAAAAAAAATAGAACCCTCTGCCGTTTTGTTACACATTTTCCACGATTCGCATTGACAGCGTGCACACAAACGTACACACGTCAGCGACGCAATCAAAACTTCATCGGAAGTTTCTACCCGTGCCAGACACTCATAAAAATTAATCTCCCCTTCTTTTCTCCCGCGGCCATTATGATGATCGTAATTGAAATTCTATTAGAGGGGGATATTACACTTCCCGCGGCGGAACTTTCTTCGTATACAAATTTGTAAATTATCAAGGGATTGACCCGGTTTTTCGAGGATTTAACAATACAATCTTCGGCTCGCGGGAGATCCGCAGGTTGTTTCAGGGGAAAACTTAGCTCATTCTCGAACAGGATTCCCAAGTCCCTTATACATGCAATTATTCTTCAGAATATTTCTTCCATCCCACGACTTTTCATTTCGTAATACTTGGATTAAACTTGCAACGAAACTTCAATACATCTCCGGCAGAGAATATTCACGTGTACTTGCACACAGCAAAATTATTACCGTTTACCGCTACACAAACGTTTCATTTCCACGTGAAATTTCGCAGACACATGTTGACGTGAAATGAAATCTCGTCGTCAAATTCTGGAAACGCGTCTGTTTGAAGCTATCAAGATCACAGGTTAAATGTAGTTACTCTCTAAGGAAGGTTCATAAATTCCGGAAGATCGGTCAGCGATTTTCGTTCGCCTTAACTTGCGCGAGATATTAATGGTGCTCGATCTATATATATATATATCCCCTATGCTATGAAGGATGTCGTGACACCTTTTATACACCGTTGGCCCGTTAAAAAATCATCCGACAGGCGCTTTTTATTTCTCCCGGCCGGATCCAGTCGACATCAATCACTTAAGGATAAGTGCGCTTCTTCGCTGGCTTTGACGGCCTGGGATCTGTCGTCGATTCTTCTTGCACCGTCATCTCTCCTTCTAGACGACGCTTCTTCTATCATTTCATCCCCGAGACGCGAGATTCCCGAATCTTTTTCTTTATTGCTCCCAGCTCTCCACTGTTGAAATTCAACCTTCTTCATCCCCTCTCATTTCCGCTTCTACTCGTCGTTGCAGCACGCCGCGGAATTGCCATCGACTTCGAATCGTTGCTTAAATTCAAGAGGCGTGGAAAAAAGAACAAGCGTGAAGAGTGCCGTTTTAAATCGAATATCCCTCCCTCGCTCGGAGAGAAAACCGATCGACCCGCTTTGAAAATTGCACACCAGGTATTATAGAGGGTAAGAGCAACAATAACGAGGCTACGTTGGAACGATAGACTGGATGGATGTGCCTCGACCGACTGATAAATCGAAACACTTAGCTAGAGTAGAATTCAACGTAGACACGAGAGTAGCGGCGGGCAAGAGTGTGTAATTCAGGAAAAATGTATCGACGAGAAGAGGGTGAAAAGACGAGTAAAAAATTGCGAGGTGGAGATGAAATTCGTGTTGAAACTTTGGAAAACGCTTAACCTGGAGATTCATACCAGAAGAAGGCTCTGTAGAGCGACGAGAAAAATAACGGAACATCTTGACCCAGACGAAATGGCTCATTTCTCGCGAAAAAGTGTCGCCGATAGGGACGAATAACGATTGAAGATCGCGGGAAAAGTGTGGTGGTTAGCTGTGTGTTTAGGTTCGCATCATCGTCGAACTTTCTGCGAAACAGGGGAGGAAAAACAGGCTGCCGCGGCGTGTACAGTAATAACGGCGTAACGTAATATTTCGCCGTGGAGAAATGCAGTTCCCCGAGGATTAATTCAAGTCTAATAGGATTATCCTTAATCCCGGTAGTCGTGGAAAACCTCCTCCGGTCCTCCGGGGTCTTTTTCCTCGTCACCTAGCCGTGGCCATAACCGTGCTTCCACGGGAAGAGAACGTGGCGTTAAACGAGTCTCAGCCGTGCCCTATCCCCTCTCCATTCCTCACCTCGTTGAATAATGTACGGTTGTCCTGACATTATCATACACCATAGGAGGTCCCTCGTTCCAGGGACCCATTGTTTTTCCCTTTCGCCTTCTAATGAATTATTACGCCACGTTTCCATGTCCTCGAACGCTTCTCTTGCTCTCTCCCTGTATTCTTTGTTCACACTTGAAACTCCAATTTCCGGACCGAGGATCTCGCTCTACAGAAGTAGACCTCCTCGTTTTGATGCAGCGACAAGACTCCGGCGAAACGTAATTGCCATTCTTCACACGGTTTCTTTTCGTTCAGACGTTTTAAGGGATGTTCCTTGTAGATCGATATTTTCTCAGCCAGGTTCGATTTCGAGCGGGAACTAGGGCGAACGGAATGGTTTCGTAGTCTGGAGAAGAACACGTCGTTTCACGGTGGCACGCATATTAAACAAGGTTCTGTAAATTAAAATGTACAAACCAGTCCTGCACCGGCGAGAGCGTGTTACGCCGTTCTTTTCCGGCTGGTGCAGCGGCAAGAAACGCGGTTTTGACTTTGAACGCGACGAAGGAAAAAGGTAACGTTCGCATTAATTAAAATAATTGCGTAACACTCGTCGAGGAGCCTTAATGGTGCGTGTTAAAGCGACTGGTTCTCGTTACCAAGACAAACCGTCTATAGACGGATATTAAAGTCTAGGAAAAGGATTACGTCAATTACCGAAGAGAGCAAGGAGCGCGAGTCGACGCTGTCAATTAAAAAGTTGCAAAGAGTTCTCTGAGGAGGAGAGTTCGATCGTTTTGCGGCTTCTTGAACTTTCTCCCGCCGGATGGTATTTTTCATTAGAGAAGCGATAATTAACTCGTCTGAAGTGGTGTTTCGATAAATGAAGTCTGGTGAAATTATTAGCGAGAGGTTCGGCCAACTTTCGCCGAGTTCATTCCGCGTTGGTCACATCGCGCTCGGGAATCTTGACTTCGTCGTACGGTGCGCACGGTTTTTAACGAATCCACTTTTTTTCTTCTTTCAGGCAGGAAAGCATAAAACACGCTCCGTTCTTTCTGCCACGTTCTTCTCCTCTCCGTGTAATTACTTTCTTCGTCGGTTCTCCCGGCTATAAGATGTTTAACATCTTATCTTTATTTAAGCGGACGCCGCCGGGACACACTTCTCTGGCTCGTTCGGGAAATATCGCAAACCCTACGATCCATAATCTACGATAAATAGAAAAATTTCAAATTCAAAATCATATACTTCTAACCAGAAAACAATCCCAAAAATAATTATATTTAAAATTGTCCGACAAGTAGAAGTAACATCGTTCGATAAAAAGAAAAATTATTTCGCACTCTCTAAAGTAATCAGAAAAAATGCTGGTCACTTTAACTCTTTGCACTCTAGTGGCAACTGAGAAACGACGTTACTGCCTACCACTTGGTAAAAAATTGATTTCACAGGAATCGTAAATGTCTCAGCAACGAAGTAGTTTGAAAGAATATAAAAATACATGAAATATACATATAAGGGTTAATTGCCCCATTGAAAATCCCAGTATCTCATACACCCTTCAAGAAACACCCTCTCCAACCAGCAGATATCCACAAACCAGGACCGCAATGAACTCGACGACTTAACGTCACGTTAAACCTAGCTAAAGCTTGGGGAAAAGATGTTACCAGTGGTATAATATTTGTCCGTACATGGGTTGCAGGTTACGAGAGCACGGCGCCAGTGGCGGCCATAATGGGTCCTCGGGAGCAGAGGGTGGCATCGGGGTCGACGATCACCATGAGGTGCGTCATATTGTCCCCGTATCAGACCCGGCCCATCAGGGGCGTGCAATGGCTCCGGGATAACAAACTCCTAACATTCCAGGTAACGCAGCCCTGCTACTACTCGTGAGACCAACTCTAATGAAACTTTTTACACCAACCTCTCTCTCTCTCTCTCTCTCTTTCTTCGACGCCTCTCCTCGCGGGAGAATCTCGTCTCGAACCGAAAGAAACGCGATCGTAAATCATCCGGCCGGCAGGAGGCGCGACTCCTTGCACGGTTCGAATCCTTCTCCTAGACAATTTTCGTCTACAACGTATACACTAGTCGAGCGGAATAGAAATTTCGACGATGTTTCGTCGCTCTCGATACGAACGCACGGTGTGTACACGTGTAATTACAAGGGAGAATTGAAATCGATCGGTGGCATGAAAAATTCTGCGGAGTGGATAGGGTGAAAATTTATCAGCGACGGGATTTTGCAATTCATCTCGTCGGATTTATTACGAAATTACAAACCGTGAACGTTTCGCGCGGGTAGGAGATGAGGGAGTACGGGGGTTTCGGTGATTTATTTAATTTCCTGCATCCGCGATATTTTGTTGATCGTAATATTCTCACGGTCAACAACCGTTGGACACCGTTCGCGAAATAACGCGTGTTTTACCGATAAAACAGTATTCATTGTAAACACGAATCGTTGTTCGACGAATTTCTCTTTCGTGGAACCGGGTGACCAGGGTGGTGCTATAGTTGCCATTCGTAGCTATAGTTGCTCATGCATGGAGGGAAACAAAAAAGCTCTCCGTGTTGTACGATGGGTTGCACAGGCGTGTGTCTGTTGCGCGGAATTTCACGTTGCATTCGACGTGTTTGCATTGCTTGCAGGCTGCACGAGGGGGAATAAACGTGGAGACTGAAAGAGGCGCGGCACGGACGGTCTCGGAATTGACTCTGGCGGCGGTCACGCCGAACGATGTCGGGAAATATTCCTGCAGACCCACCGAGGGACGAACCGACACTGTAATGCTGATCGTCGAACCAGGTTAGCGCTGAAATTCCCTCTAAAAGCCTCCTATTTTTTCTCCCACCTGCCTCGCTTCCCCTTCAAATATTATTTTCTCGTTCGAGGTTACGTTCGATTAACGAATTTCTTTGTTACTCCGTCAACACCGTACAGCAAGTTCACAAACTGTCCTACCGTGCGCAAAAACTACGAAACGCCGAAATTTTAAAGGGCAGAAAATTTTCCTTCTCAAAGATCAATCTTCCTCTATTAAAAATGCACACTCTAGGAATTATCGATGGAAGATAATACATATATATGTTTAAGGACACGTCACTGTGGAGAAATCAGAGTACACAGCAAAGGTAGTCGACACTCTCTAAAATTGAAACCCAGTTTAATAATCCAGGCCCTAGAGCGGGCACGTCTGGCAGAAAAATACGGACAGCACAAACGTCTCCGCGTAATGGTGGCCGTTCCGAGCAAATTGCCGCCATAAAAGCTAACCCTAAATCGTCGTTCCGGCGCGATCAAACCGCAGAACAAGAGGCTTCCTCCGTGCAGCTCATTGGCTGGAGCATTACGAGCGGCCCGTACTCGGGCATTTATATTCGATTCTCCTTATAACGTCTTCGTGCACGCCATCCGAACCGTACGAATAAAGAACGATGTAGAAACTAGAAGATAAAAGAACAGAAAAAAAGAGAGAAAGAGAAAGAGAAAGAGACAAGGCAACAGTGGGTGGGTGTATCCCCATGATCTAAAGTCGCGCCTCAGGATTACTCGAAACACTTTAAAGTTTTAAGGAGGCGGCGGTATTTCACGGCGGGACTATTTGTCTAGCTCAGCCTCTTGGTTCGCCGCGAGGACGTCGTTTGGCCTGGCAAGAAAAAGGGGGAAAAATCGAGAAAATCGAGAAAGAAAGGGTGTTACCAGAGGGTGGAGATCTCCGTGTTGTCTAGAGAAAAAGGGAGGATAGAAAGGGCGGGAAAAGGGATTGAGAAGGTGGAGGAGGAGGGTTAGAGAAGGAGTGGCGTAAGCACACTTGCATACGGAACTCGCAGCCAGTAGTCTCTATTATCGTGAATTTTCCTTCGGAAGTTATTGCGACGAAGCGGTGGGCCGCGCGACGTCGCATTTTTCCCGCTCCAGCGACGCCCACCAATAGCTCCCTATACGCGTCTATACACACTCACACGTACACAGCCAACCGAGATATTCCGTTTCTCTTGTCCCGTGTACACGGGGCTACGGAACGTGGCCGTAAATCAGAACTTCGCCGACTCGTTTCGTAGTTTCACAGATTGCATCCACTACTCTTCAGAACCCCGTCTTCTACTTGCCCATTTTCTCAGTTTACGGAGAGATACTCGAGGGTGTTGGGATAAAGCGTTAGGGTTACGTTTACGTGCTGGTTTTAGCGGCGATAATATTGGTACGAGTTCAGGTAAAAGTAAGGTTGCCTCGGTGAAAAGTGTCCAAGTGATTCTCGAATAAGGTGGGGGACGAATAGGATCGAGTTAACTCTTCGAGGAAAATGAATTTTCGATACTTGTTGAGAAAAGAGTAATCGTTGCAACTATCGTCGCGTCAATTTTTCATTTGGTCAGTTCACCTTTCGCTAAATAATTTCAATCGTACAAGTTTGCAAAATAAAATAACACCGGATAAATAAGATTGTAAATAAATGGGAAAAGAAGCACACGTCAAGTCGATACTTTTGTTTTATGCGAACGGTCGAACTGACTGGTTAAAAAATAAAATACACAATAAAAAGATAGGAATCAGTGGACGTAAATCGGCATAAAATACTCGTCCCTCGATTAAGTGAAAAACGAACGGCGTAGCGTTCGCAACATTTTGCGCCTCTGCTTATAATCGATGTTGCACGGAGAGATGCCGATCGGGCTGATAAATCAGAGTATCGCCGATTCGCCGCACGGTCCTCCAAATTGCGAATTCACGCGAGTTTATGGGCACGCGCGAGTAGCTGCTTTCGGAAAGAATTACCGTTCGCGCGGAATTAAACGCGACCGTCACGGTGCTTCGACGTCGAGATGATTTTTACGAGCTACAAGCCGACGTAAATATCCCTATAAATATCGCCATAAATGCCTCGTGAATTGTGAAACGCGTCTCGATGAAACATCGTTCGAATTTTAAAGAATCGATCGATTGTGCAGATAAGAACGTGCAGATAATTCAAACGTGTAAACGAACAGAATTTTAGACACCTTTAAAAAAGAAAAGTTCAAAAAATTCATCGATAGAATAATAACGAGACAAGCTTACCTTAGAGATCACGTCACGACGAGGCGTTTCATTTATCAGATTACGTCGTCACCAAGCTCCAATCAGGACACCAGTGAAGAGTTCACATCACGATTCTTCATAATTCACTTTGATACACCTCACTCGAAGCTCGTTGACAGACTGACCTCCGAGAGCACAAGTGTTTCACTTATACGACTGGTGGGCATAAAATGGAACAGGATATTCAAAAAGAAAGATAAATATAAAAAAAAAAAAGGAAAAACAAGCGGTAAAAATGTATTTCTGCCAGAGCTTATCGAAGCAGAATTTTCTCATCGAAATGTTTTCTACACGTCATAAAACACCGCGGTACCGTGTACCAAGCGCAACGAGAACGTTGACCACGGTGATAAATCACAAGTTTGCCGAGTACCGTTCTGCAGATCGCGGATTTACGCGCTTTATCGCGACCACATCCGCGCTTCTATAAGCTGCAGAATTAAAGGCGCCTGTCCACGCGATCTTTACGAGCCGACGTGCACACACGTACCACGTATCCTCTCTGTGTTATCGTTGAAAAATCACTCACAATCAGACTCCGGCCGATAGTAGCAGTTATGCGTAAGGTGAAAGATCTGTCTGGCGAAAAAAGCAAAAAAGAAAAGAAAGAACGAATCAATTTTATTAATCGACTTGGTGGTCGAACAAAATCGACGCCACTTGATTAATTAATCCGTGGACGCAAAAAGGGTACGGAGAGAAAAATGACTTTCGATCGCAGCTTTCCGACAAACCGCGACGACGTTTGAAAGCGTACCACGTTAATTTTTCACTCTGTCACGACGATTTATCCGCAATATTATCGAATTAAATGAAATATTGAAAGGGTATCAGTGGTATCTAGGGGAATATTTATGCAGATTCCCCGGCGCTCACCTGTTTTACGAAGTTTCTTCTGCTGCAGGGGAAGCGATATTTCCATTAGAGGTTGAAATACACGGGGAATTAGCGTCGCCTGAACTCCCATCGATACAACCGACAACCGCAGGCAAGAAGCGTCATTTGGCTGATTCGTCGAATGGCGGCGCGAGATTTAACGACTTTTCCGGAAGCCAGCTGGCAAAAACCGGTCGGGTAGAGTGCCAGTCCCCGGTGCAAAGTCGGCTTCTTGCACAGTGCCACCGTGTCTGAGCTAATTCTTATGCGATCGTAAATAACGTCGCGCATATATCAAAACTTACAGCGACTTCCCATCCCTAAGACCTCTGGCAATCGTCGCCAGCACCTCTTCGCGTCGCAACAATCCTGTCTTATCCCCTTCCGTGCTTCCGTGTTTCTCTCCTCGTTCGTCAAGCCTCCATTTCCCTCCAAAGTCACAGATCCTTCCTCCTCTCTCTCGCTCTCTGGTTCGGTGACAGAAGCTGCCAGAAGCACTCTCAGCGGCCAGATTAAAGATACAATTCCACGATTCTATTAATTAAGAAAGTTAATTACGCCGGAATTCAATTTTCCTAATTGCACATCACCGTTGAGTTCTCTCAGCGGCTGTCTCTCCTCTCGTCTCCTCGAGACCTATCCCCGATATCTTCATACCGTCTTCAAGCCTTTCGTTCCAAAACTTTTCACCTCCTTTTCTCTTCCTTTTCGTTCCGTTTCGTTATCTTAGATCAGACCTCTCTTCCATCCTTCTTTCCTCGTCCTTTCCCGGATTTTCGATGTTCAGGCTAGCACACCGACCGAATACGCACACCGAGCGTTTCTCCGCGGAGCTAATCTTCCGGAATCCGTTCTCGAGCGGTCGCGCGATCTCTCTTCTTCCTTCCTCCTCCTCCACCACCACCACGTCCCCTTTGCAAGTTGTTCCGTGAGCAGAGAGATTTTAATATTTGGCTCGTATTCAGCGGCAGCCTATTAAGGACGACGATGAGCTTTTAGCGCTGTTGCGTTTCGGATTACGAGTTTGAACAGTTTGCTGGAGGGGGGGAATTTGGCTAACGACTCGCTCGTGAGGCTACCGTCTCTCTAATGGCACGGAAACTACGGTTAAAAGCGGAGGATCGCGCTTTAACGGCGCTTCGTGCACGAAAGAATTTCGTCCGCCATCTTAGCGCCGGGTAAGGGAATCCTTGGATTGTGATTTAACCCTTTCGTGGACGACTTTGTGCAAAAACAAATATTCATTTCACGGCAGAATTTGTCCAATGACCGTATTATCGATTGGAGAAACTTCCTATTGGATTCCTCAACGGTAACTTAGCAAGAAACAAAATGGCAGAATTTTTCACTCGAACGATACACGACCTAATTGAAATTATTTACCAAAACATTCGCCGAAATGCGTGAAAATTCTTAGCACCCAATTCTGGGCCATTTGTAAAGCCATTTGTGGGCCATTTGTCAGGTCTAAGGAAATATTCGCAGAATAGGTGATAGACTGGAGATGACCCAATACACGAAAGAATCCTAGTAATTTCTAATGGCTCGCTATTGATCTTGACGTGACGGGGCCAAGGGAGCATCATCGTTGACCTTAATAAGATTCCGAGTCTAGGACAGCGTTTAAGGCCACTGCTAGCGGGGCCTTGCGAATCAGCTTTAAGAGCACCGCCGATCTGGTTCAACCCGTGGCTGGCGGATGGTCTTATTGGGTCACTGGTAGTGGTAATGGATCGTATAAATCAGCCATAAATGCTCCGCTAAGCTAGCCTACTAAGCTTACCAAAGAACTGTAGATCAGCCAGGCTATCGGACGCTACGAATTAAATATAGGATGCAGTGATTAAAGAAAATTATTAAGGCCAGCTAGAGCAATCTGGTGGCGCTTGAACGATCCCTACGGGAAGAGAGCTTTATCGCTGCGAATTATCGCGCAACCATTACCGCTGCTAATTGGTCCACGATTCTAGATGATCGCTCGTTTCGTTGTTCCGTTATCGACATACACCAGACGATATTAATTGTCATTCCTTAAAGAGATTATTGTCTGCTCAATTCTCATTGCTCAAACTATAAAGATAAATATAGTCCTTGTAACAGTATCAATTATATTATTACTTTCTTGTTTGGAAGATTGATTCGTATTTCAATGTAACAGTTTCACTATAGGTTCAAGTCCAGAATATTCTGTTCCTTTCAGTAGATTCGAAATTATTTTCTAGAATGATTCGATCTGGTAAAGTCTCCATGCTGGAGAGAATTTAAGAGAACTTCCCTTCGAATCGATTCGTTAATGCGAAAGTCTGGCTGTTGTTACGAGAAGAGGACTTGGGCGTTACGACTATCGCGGAATCGCGAATGATCTACAAGCTCGAAAAGTTGCACAAGTACCACACTCCGATTCGTCTAGCTTTCCTGAAGGAACTCTCGGAAATTGTCCTCGATCCTACGCGCTTCTCAAGTCGATCCCTTTCCTCGAGTACTACTCGTCGTACTTTGGAAATGCTTCGGGAGTCATTAGAGCGATCGATACTCAAACTTCGATGGATACTTTCGACTGTATACAGTAACATCTCTTCACACTGTCCCTCCTTATTATCACATATTTATTATTAACCCCCTCTACCTCCTCCCTTATACATAAAAATTACAAATATTTTTTTTCCAACGTTGGCGGTCACCCATCTTAACATTAGTCGCGAGGAACGTAGCTTGACTTGGAAAGCTACCGAAGAGTCACCCTGCCCACTCCCAATTTCTCCCCCGGCAAAAAAATTGCACTCTTATAGTATTTGATGTGACAATAACTATAATAAATTTACTACAGTCATTTGACATAAAATAGTCACTTCTAAGTCTTTTTCATACGAAAAATGTTAAAAATAATCGCTCGGTTACCTCGACCCTCGTTTCATCCTGATCCTTTATTCCTGGTCCTTGTCTTCGTTCGGCAAACCTCGTGCCTCCTCTACCCAAACTGACGCCATTCGGTTCCGACCAGAGCGACAGTGTGAGAGATATTACATACCGAAGCTCTCGGCTGGCTGTAGCGCAACATTTTTCACCGGCGTGGCGTGGCGTGGCGTGGCGTGGCGCATACCATCCTCATTTCCGCCGCGAATGGAATCGCGAAAGAATGGTATTTCATTAACGGTACTGATTGAAAAAAAAAAAGAATCTTGAGCGCGAGGTAACGCGCGATAATCGCCTCCCAACACGACGGTGAACTGAATTCTATCGGTTTGATGGTAATTTGAAAAACACCGGCGTTCATAGACCTCGATAAATTTCACGAAATAAGCGCGTTTAGCGATCAAAAATCTCTCATTCGACATTCCTTTTTCTCACATTTTTTAATAACACCAGCAGAGAAGAGGATAGAGAGGGAGTGTGGGGCGGTGGGAATGAATTTTCTAGCTTCAATTCAGCCAGTTATTTCAGGTCGGAAATTTAATAATATCGCAGCAAGAGCGCGCGGAGGGTTTCAAGGTGAGGAACAGGGGCAAAGAGAAAAAGGCAGGGGCCAGAGATGAAATTTGGACACCTATATGTATATGTATGTATATACGTGTACGCTTAAAAATCTCAGAGGTAGCCATGAATCTCTGAACTAAGGCGACATATTGGTGTACCGGGAACTTCGTGGACGGAAAATACCTTTAAAACTTATAATAGTCACATCTAGACACCTTGCTTCATCAGTTCCACTAAACTTTACACTATCTTTGTACCTGCATTACCAAGAGTTCCATCACTTTCAGCAAAAAAAATTCTGCAAAGAGTAGCTATAATCCAAGAGATCAATTTCAATTTCCGTAGGTATCTTTTTGTAAAGGGAAGTTAAGCAGGTACACGTCGAGGGCTCTGAACGACAAACATTCGAAGCGAAGCCACGGAGATCATCGATTAATGCCAAGCAACCCCGACCGAAAATCCATCGATACTCTGCCACTCTAATTAAACGTTCAATTGACCGTGCCCTATCCGGCCAGCCAATTAACTACCCTTGATACCGATCCTCGACAAAGGACGAGAGCGGATCGTGCGCTGATGTCCGGAATCCGCCGTGATCTTCTGGCCATGAGGCGCCAAATACGAACAGACTCCTCGAATACCGAGGAAATTGCATAAACCGCAAGAGATAGGCTCTGATACTTGGAGCGTTCCATCGACCGTGAATCAACGAACATTGACGAAGATTTACAGCCTCCCTTCATCCGTTTAAACCCTCTGCCACCTGCGTTATCGAGGAAAATATCTCGGTGAAAATTGAATATCTCGATCGGCGAGGATCGGGGAGTTTCGAAAGGGTTGATATCCTGTCGTCTTCGTGGAGGAAAGATGAAGAGCTTAGAAGATTGGCTCCGTTAAGTCCGTTTAAATCGGAGACTGTTTCGATATCGGCAGATCTTCCTCTGATGATCTCACTAATGATGCGTTTATCTCACTAGTGATACGAAATTCATGCACACGTCTAATGGTAAATGGTCCAACGTAATATGTACAAGCACGTAATTCGACCATTCGGACTTTAGGAATTAATACCGGTAACTATGATCAATCATCGTCGATCCTTGTGAGGGATTACTATCTGTACTAATAATTACGTGTGATTGGAAGATTGAAAATTAGCTGGTTCAATGATGTCCGAATAAACGACGCTAACGGTAGTTACATGATCGATCGGGGATATACCTGCATGCAACAGAATATTTCGGAATAAACCGAAGGAACAGGAGGGGAATAAAAAGGAGTTACTTGTTTCGAATGTATACGAGCTTACATCGGCCCATTTCTTTCCAGCAAAGTGCTCGTATTTCTGCCATTAGGGGATCAGGCCTGTGTAATCGAGGAAGGGGAGATCGTTAAAAAGAGTAATTTCGGAAAATAAAGTAGTTGTTAGAGGTTCTTGGTGAAAAAATCAAGCCGTAAAGTATGCCAATGACTGTAATCGAAGCTTCCGCTCTATTAACGACTTCGACTGGGCTTGTAGACCAAAAATCCTGAAGATCGATTTACGAAGAATAACTGGAAAGGTAGGATGAGAAGGAAGGAGACGAAAGAAGGAGAAGCATCCTTCCGGGACGATTTAATATCGCTGCATGAAACCGCGAGAATCTCGTACGCACGTGGCTTGTCTCCTTATGAGATAGGTTTTGGCAACGTCAAGGGACGTTCTTGTAAGCACAGCTGAGGGCACACGTGCGTACACGTGCCCGCCGCCATCTGTTCGCGGCACGTTCTTTGCATTTGCATACGGAACGTGCAACATCTTTATTATGTATTTCAGTTTTTCCAATTGCCCACCATTTTTACACCTGTTCAAAAATTCAACGTCCTTTTTCTCGTCACTTCGAACAACTCGCTGGGAAATAGAATAGAATCGCTACAGCGAAATTCCCGGTTACTCCTCGAATAATTATTTCCCATTCCCCTCCCTTCCTTTATTTCAGGGTGAAAAGCGTCCAAGTGGTCGGTAAAGAGCGCGGTAATTAATGAAGACCTTAGCCCACTTGGAGGCCGGTGACGCAGAAAAACCAATAATCCGATAGTCGATAACCCTTTTCCCCTCCCTAATCATACGAAATCGCAAGACGGACACGCCAAACTCTCCGTTTACACGGTTAATTGATACCCGAGATTACACACTCGCGAGAAATAAATGTTCGCGTAAATAGAACAATTTTATCTGTCACGACGAGTTCTAAAACACACTTCTTCTCCTGTTAACCCTTTACCTGCCGAATTTCCGATAATTCGCGAAACGCGCAACTAGGTCAATGCTTCGAGTTCGACACTGTTGAAATATAGGGAGAATTTCGAAAAATTTAGACGGATTTGCGAGTGAAATTCGAGAGTGAAGCAAATCGAGGGTTAGTTGTACGATCGTAGATTGACGATTGTTCCGCAGACTGAGGAAACTGAGAAAGCGTGTTTTATTTCTGTTTTAGGAGAACGTACGGAAGCCATGCAACGTGACGCCGGATACGTCTCTTCCGGATGTGACGTCAGCCACTGGGCCGGGCTTCTACTTCCGTTCACGTGGTTTCTAATACTCGCACGAAACAGCCAAACTTTCCTGCAGTAGCGCACACCCCGACAGTATTTCACGCGTGTTTCTCTCTCTCTCTCTCTTTCTCACTCCGTGTTCCCTCGTTCCGCTAACGGGGAGCGAAAGTACCTAGAAATTCGACCAACGACAACTAGATACGTAAGCTAGATACGTAGGAATTATTGATAAGGGGGTAACAAGGCGCCATCCGTGGAAACAGAGGGCCGACACTGTGTTTCCATTTGAATTTCACACGACCCGTCGCCTTAGAGAAACTCTTCGTTTCTGCCTTCGCTCGAAATAATGGGTAGAACATTGCCAAATTTTTCCTACTCGAGCTTGTCCTGTTTGCAAGTGTTCGCTAATAGTTAGGAAAATCGTGCAAGAAAGACGAAACACGTTCGATTCCCATCAACCGGCTAAATTTTCTCATTTCATCAAATTTTCGTTTTCGTTGGAAAAAGAGAGAATCTTGTAAAAGTGACGTTTAGCCTATTTTATTGGAGAAAGTGGGATTGAAGGAAAGGTAGGTAAGGAAATTCGAGTCTTTCCTTTTCTTCTTTCACGTGCATACTAGGAATCCCTTTAAGAATTACCGAGGGGACCGTGGGAAAAGGGTAATTCAGGAGGCAATTCATCGGAAAAGTGGCAGAAACGAGGGCCGCTATACAGGCACCGTTAAATTTCACTTTTTACGTAAATAATTCAGTAAGTGAGCCGCAACGCGAAGCTCGAACGCGTTGGAACGTCTTTTTCGCTGTGGCCCTCGCGCGATTCACGATGCTTCTTCTTTGAGCGTCCCTCTTCAAGTCAATGGGATTAAAGTGGCCGAGCAGCGTCAAAGGGTGTGCGAGTAATTTGATATCCTGTATCTTAGGACCCGTCGATGACTCTGCAACGCTCACGGACGATATTAATGAAATTTTTCACTCTTTTTTCTCTCTCATTTGTCACTCGATTCGTGGAAAGATGCGGCCCCGATTTTCGCGTAGTTATAAATAATTCAACGTCCGGTTATCCTCGTTAGTTCTAGATTGTAATTTATAAATCGCACTTTTAACACAATCAACGCCACGTTTAAAGATAGTATTTATTTTACCTGCAATTTAACCCTTTCACGAATGAATCACTTTTCCTAAGAATTTATCACTCGTCTATCTCTGTCCTCACGTTTGCCAAGGATACCAAATTAAGATTAATCTTCGTTCAAGTTCTCGCTTATCGCGAAAGGGTCGAACGGCAACAATATTCTCATTACACCATTCACAACGAATTTACCTGCATATTAAGTACATAAAATAGGCACGACGATAATTTAATTTAAACACGCGTCACGAGCTTTGTACGATATTTCTAAATAAAAAGAAAAAGACAAGAAAGGAAATGCTTTTCCGAAAAAGAAGCTACACGTTCGAATCACGATTTCGCCTTTCATTTTATCACCTCCGTTCATAGGTACACGCTGAATTGAAATGAATTTTATATGAAGAGCAAGAGGTGCGGAGGAGGAAGCGAAGAAGAAAAGGGACAGAACGAGAGCGATCTTCCAAGGGGAAATCCAGGAAATCAGTAAGTCTGTGACCCAAAACGAGATGGGAGTGGCATGAGAATCCATGGTTGCTCAAAGCATGAAAAATCGTTTTACGGTTCGCAGATTTTCAGCGTTTCCCGAATACTTTGATGCGTTATGAATTACAAATAAGCCAGGAGGGTAGTTCCTCTGTGTGTGTGTGTGAGAGGACGCGTGAACGCGAGAGCAGTGGGTGACGAGAACAGATTAAATATTTGATCGTCCCGGTGAATTGCGCGCCCGGTTAGGCGAGCGAACGAACGAACGTGTTACACCCTCTGTTTTTACCCACCTCTCGATACGCGCGTGTCGAGCCGTTACCTAACCTTGTCCACCCTGGTTTTACACTCTAACTCACCCTTTTCACACGCGCACACGCGCTCGTAGGTACATAGACTAGCTGACAGTCTGGCAGGCTCAGCTTAACAATGTCCCGTGACGTTTCGACGCGTTCTTGGGCACGCCAACGTGCGGTTGCATACTAATAAAACGTCGGGCGCCGTGTCGGTGGATATTACGAATCGTTCTGTCAAAACTGGACACCCTGAATGAACGATGTGAAAGGGTCTAATAAGTCGAGGGTAATTAGTCGTGTGACTGCAAATGGATATAGCTTGTCAGAGTACAATGTACCCCGATGTATTTCGCGATAAATTACACCAAGCAGTATTTCAAAAAATGCGATACCATACAACATTGAAAGAAAAATCGCCGAACGTTCGGAGCATCGAAGAAATCTTCCTGTCCGCAGGAGAAATATCGTAATTGTAGAAAAAAGAAAAAGTAGGTTAAAATTTGGGGAAGTTTCGCCGAAGTCAGTTTTCTTCGCAGTCATTATCCAAGTAGAATGTTCGAATTTTTTTTCGCCAAGTTGCAACGAAAACGGGTCGGTTCGAAAACATCGGAGGTGGAATTTGTTGAAGTTGGGTAAAAAGTTTGCGGGTCGTCTTGCAGAGGCGAGGGACAGAGGAACGGGTGAAATGGTATTCGGAGGCTGGGTGACAAGGCTCTCGACCGGAAACAGTTACCACCGGCGGCACCGGCAGCACAACGTGGCTACTTCAGCTGCAACCACCGCTGCCTGCGCTGTCCGAACTTGAAAAATAATTCAGCACGCAGTAATGTCCTGAATATAAAATTCACGGTGAACCGGCCAATTTCGCGGCGGAAGAGGGGAGAGAGAGGCGATGGCACGGGCTTCCGGTGGATTTTCATTTATAAATTCCGAAAACTTCAAGTCGGATCTCGCGTAAAATTGCTTCGGGCTCTGGAACTAGCGGAAACGCGCACACGCCCACCCAGGTCTTCTAAATTAATCGGCGAGCAGAAGCGAAATTCTTTCGGATTTAACTTTCCAGGCAAGTTAAATAATGGTCTGTAACAATTAAATCCGGCGTTGTTCGTTTTAATCCGTCGCGGATTGATTTTCGTCCACGCGAGTTCATCGTTGCAGAACAATTTTACACTGTTACGCGCGCGCGGGGCAAAATTGAAGTCACGCGAACGGGAACTAAATTTTTTAGCAGAAAAAAAAAAAAGGAGGGAGAATGAAAACCATATCAATCGTGGATTTACGTCGACAATTATTCCAACACGCTCACGCACGCACACACACACACACGCACACAGCTAAACGAATTTTCGATGTCTACGAGCTGTAGCAATAGCGGTCCACGTAGTTCTTTAAAGTATCCGTTTAAACGACGCCAAGGTAAGAATAAAATAACGCTAAATTTACGACGGGTCGTGAATCAACATGCTTTATGATTGTTCGAGGTGCGGATGATAAAGAGTAGAGAGAGCGGAGGAGTAGGTAGACCATCGAGGTCGAACGAAGGTTCGCGTGGTTCGAGGAGCATAGAGAAGGGGGGAGGATGGAGCAGGGTGAAAATTGGAAAACTGCATTGTCCAGCCGTTCCGTTCCTGCGGGACACATTCGTTAGCGGCATCGTCCACTGCCGATAAATTTCCCGTATCTTCCGCGTTCCCGTCTTTCATTCTTGCTCAAATTAGAGATCAACTCGATCCAACGAATCCACCGACAACAACAAACAACACCGCGATACAACAGGATGTTTGTCCATTATGCGGAAAACCCCATTCGATACGTGATTCTTTCTCCTTTTATTTACGCGCAGATCAAAACAACCACCGTAAAACGAGAGTAAATTGAGGAAAATTATAGAGAATTATATGGGACACACGGTGATTTTCGAGTGATTGGAAAATTACAAGGATACCAATAACACGGTGCAATTAATTTCTTTCTATGATGCGAACCGAATAAATTTTCCGATGTGTCGAGAACGATTTCTAAAAAGGCTGGTGGTAGGGAGGAAATGACAGTTAATTTTCAGCGTTATTTGCCTCGTTACCTGGCAAACGAACGAGGAGGATCGTGTTTCCCCGTAAAAAGTGTCTGTAATCTTGCTTTGTTGACGCGAGATTCAATTTCGCTGTAACGAATAAACAGGCGGGCAAACGAACATCCCCTTTTCCATCCCCTCTGTCTCCGCCGCGTCGCTTCTACCGTCAATTCAACGGATACGTCCGGGTGAATGGCTACGAAAAACCGGGCGCCGATTTAAAGCCACCGAATTTCGCTGACAATAAGTAACGCGATTTCCAACGAGAATTCAATTTACCAAAGTAATCTGCCACAGCAGATTCTCGTCGATATTCCCCGTCAGAAATCGCCGGGAAACTTCTTCCTTTTCCACTTCCGCATAAACTGACCACTCGCTGAAAGTACCGTCGAGAAGATTCAAATTCGGATTAAAATTCTTTCCAACGGTGAATACGAATTTTCGGTTTGTTTTTTCCATCGGCGGGAGAAAATTTAACCGGCAATTCAGTTTCGTTGTAACGAACGACCAAATTCGACACGCTTGCAACTACGCCACCACCCCTTCTTATCATTTTTTTTTTTAATTTTCACTCGTACCAAACAACCCTCGTGTCTCTCTCGAATTGCACGCGAAAAGCCGGGGCGCGCGTTGCTCTCGACTATCGAAAAACAATTAAACCGGTAAAATATCGGCAAACAGATACTCGACGAACGGCTGATATTTTATCAGTTTCAACCCACAACTGTTTCTGTAAACTTCTCCTATCAGTTTATAACAAGACAACCGAGGCCCCGTTTCGTTATTTCCATCGGTTTTTTGTGTTTTACGATTTTCCATTTTTTCCCCACGGGTTTTACTGCAATAAAATAAACACGGAAATTTCGAAGATTTCATACGTCACAATATTTCGAAGGGGAGATTCACTCGGACAGTAAAGCCGCGGGAAAACACGGTTTCCCAATGTGCGGAAGCTGGACAGCTTGTCGAACGTTCGCACGCAATCACGGGAGATTAGCGGTCGCGGAATCGTTCGGAACTAGCGTTTGAAAAGTTGCCCGACCGTGCAACTATTAAAAGACGACGAGTTGCATACAATTCCCGCCAATATATTTCCAGCCCC